CAGTGGAGGGAACAACATGGGAAGCTGAGGAACTAATGCGAACCAAATATCCAAATCTATTTCCAAATGGTAAGTTGATTTTCGGAGATGAAATCCTAAAAGAGGGGAAAACTTATAAAACCCGAATATATATGACGGCCACATAAATAATTATTATGAGTATGAGTATGCATGACGACCATGTAAATAATTATTACAAGCATGATCATGCGATATAACTGTGCTCAATAGGTACCTATTAATTAAAAATAGAACATTGATTGGGTGTAGGATAATTAAATGTATTGCATGTGACATAATTAATTTACTTGATATATGTTAGTGCACATGGGATTAAGTAGGGTGGTGGGCATGTGATATTAATTTGAGTATTATAAATAAATAAATTAGTGTGCACAAGAGATGGGTCACATAAAATATATATGTATATATATATATATATATATATATATATATCTACGTGTGTGTGTGTACAAAATGATATATATGTATATATAAATAAATAGTGCAAAGTTTATATATATATAAATATTTGGATGGTATATATAGACACACACACACACACACACACACATATATATATATATATATTTTTTTTTTTTTTTTTGCATGCAAGCACATGGGGGCTTTGTTTCAAGAAAAATGGGTGGCTAGGAAGAGGAAGGGAAAGAGTGATGGTTTCGGAGACAGAAGTAGGAGTGTCATCATTATGCATGTGTAGGTAAATATAAAAGGAAGAACTCTTCAAGACAAAGCCATTTTGGGCTAAGGCAAGGAAGACCAAGAAAGGAAGGGAAAAAAAAGAAGAAGAAGAAAGGCAAGAGAAGAAAAGAGTTTGGGAGGTGGTCTTATGGTGGTGCAAGAAGTAGGCTATGAGGAACCATTTTCTTTATTTATTTTTTTTTTGCATAAAAAAAAAACATAGGATGAAATTATTGTTTGAGATTTGGGAATTTAAGCAGGCATATTGGGTGTTATTTAAGATTTGTGAATTATGATGATAAAATGGTATGAAAATTAGTTAAGCATGCATGTTGGGAATTACTTAAGATTTGAGAATTTTGTTTATGTATATAATAGTGTGTTGCATGTAGATGTTAAAATGATGTTTGATTATGTGTGTATAATACCATAATTTTTGGTAAGGAAATTGATATAAGGTGTAGGTGGGTATGTAGCATAAAATGTTGTTAAAAAGAAATACAAGAAAGTAAGGGCGTGTTTGGTTTTATTCTGGAAAACAGTTTTTTTGTTATCAAAATTTCAAAACCCCCCCCCTCCCCCAAAAAAAAACTTGTTTGCTTAGCATTTTTGTTCTCAAATTTTTGGAAAAAAAAAAAAAGATTTGGAACAAATAAACAGAAAACAAGTGTAACTTGTTTTCACAGTTTTCTTTGAAAATGTTAGAAACACGGAGAACAATTTTGGGGTTTTAATTAAGTCTGCCCTTCGAGTCCCCTTAGCAACAAAAGTATTCATTCATTTTTTTTCCTTCATCTCTCTCTCCAGCGTCTCCATCTCTCTCTCTCTCTCTCTTTGTCTACAACGAAGGTGGAGCACCGAAACACAGATCTGAAACAACGAAGATGGAGCCCTTCACTTAGGTCTAAAGCACAGATCTATGTAGATTGTTGTGCAACGAAGATGGAGCCCTCTCTCTCTCTATCTGCGATGAAGGTGGAGCACTAAAGCACAATTCTGAAGCAACAAAGATGGAGCCCTTCACTTAGGTTTGAAGCACAGATCTATGTAGATCGCTATGCAACGAAGATGGGGCCCTCTCTCTCTCTGGCGCACAGATATGTGTAGATCGCTATGTGTGTGTGTGCGTGTGCGTGTGTGTGGGTTTTGTGAAAACAAAGAGATGGACAATTAAGAAAGATAGAGATAGTGTGGGTTTTGTGGATTATTGTCCAAACATATTTTTTAATTTTATGTTCTTTAAAACTATTTTCAAAAATATATAACTAAGCAGGTTTTAGAATCTAAAAATTTTCAAAAACACTTTCTTAAAATTCTTCTCAAAAACTATTTTTGGATACTATTTTTTGAGATGCAAACTAAACATACTCTAAGATTCTTGTATAGAAGTAGAATTTAAATTAAGGGAGGTAATGGTTTAGTAGGTAATCTAGCAATGGTGTACAAATATTTCTTGAAGGTATGAATTCATGGGTGTATGAAATTACAAGGAAATATGTATACTTTATAATGTTATAGGGAATTATGTAGATTCGAGTATATTTTGTGGGAAATGGTAATATTGTGGGAAATATATATTTTGGGTGTTTTGAGTTTGTACAAATAGTATGATAATGAATTCGAAGAGGTTAGCTTAATTTACTTTTAAAAGAATTTCATTCGATGTATCAAGTAATTTACATATTTTTTAACAATATTATTGACTCAAAAATTGATTTGAGTAGATAATATTACTTGATGTGAATGAACTATATGAATCGAAGTGATGCAAATATTAAACATGGTTCAAGTAAATTATCTCGAACTCAATTGATATTATGTGTTTGAATGAAATTATGGACATCAGGTGTGTTAGGTCCAGAGATGAACACCGCAAGAAATGCTGCACAAAAGGCTTCAGCGGAAGGATCGTCCACACGATAGAGCTTTGCACGAGGTAGGTGAACTATCCTACAATCTTTTTATATTTCTGATAATTAAGTTGTTAGATTGATAATGTTACAAATTTAGTCTGTAATTTTTAATTCATAAAAGTGATGATTTAGTTAGTCTGTGGAAGAATGTAGTGAGCTTTCGTGGTTTATTTAGTTGGAATCCGACCATATGACGACAATAATAGAATTAAGAATATAGATTAGAACACGAGCTATTTTGGGACTAAAATTGGTTACTGGGTGATGGTGTTGTCTGTGTGACAAGTGTCTACGTGATGGGGTTCGGTTATGTGATCGAGATGTCTAAGTGACGGGCGTTTGCATGACGAGGTTCGAATACGTAGTGGAGTTGTTTGGGTGACGGGCGTCTACGTAACGGGAATTAACTTTTCGCGTGATGTTTCCGTCTGAAATGATAAGACATGAAACCGTCTGAACGATGAGACATAAAATCGTTTGAATGACGAGACATGAGTCTTCGTGACATAAGAACATCCATGCAATAAGATCGTCTAAGTGACAAAAATTAATTGTCAAGGGGAATGATTTAAGCAACTGGAAGTAACTCAAGTATTTAAAATATCTAAATGAAGAATTAAGTTTTGTAGCCAAATTGTTTAGGTGACGAGAAAGAAAATCGTTGACAGTCATAATTTGTTCAAAATATGGAAGTTAGTGACGGGGAATAAAATATCTAGATGTCGAATTGAATCCTTAAATCAATTGAATTTTGTGGGTATGTTGCCTGAGTTGCGAAACAAGACGTCTCACTGTGAGACCGTTCAGTTTTTTAGACAGATTTTCTTAATAGAAATTACGAGGTTGTAGTTAGTATATTTATGTGGTTGGGTTAATACATTATAATAGCTTCCGACTTTTTTTGTTGTTGTGATATAACTGAGTACTTACTGGAGTTTTCTTTAAACTCGTCCATGTAATTTTGGTTCACCAGCTTGACGTTCAATGCCGAAGTTAGAGATCAAGTCAGAAGGGATCATGAGTGAATCTGAGTGTGGTTAAGTTTTTGGACCGTATGCTTAACTTTTAAATGTTATGGATGTACCTTAACTACTATAACTATATTTTGGGTTGTATTTATTTTGTATGGTATCAGACCAGTGTTCTTGCTTTTGGTGTAACCCTTATTTTTTTATTTAGTAAGTGTTGGACCTTGGTGTATTTTATTTCATGTTATCGGACTAAGGGTGAGTCGGGGTGTTACATTATCATTTGAATTTTAAACATTTATTATTTTTCTTTCACTCCCCCTTTCTCCCTATTTTCTCTTACTATTACTCTCGCACTCTCCTTCCCCTATTTTCTCTAATTATTACTCTTTCTACTTATTTTTTCTTCTCTCTCCCACATTGATAATTTATTTTCTTTTTAAATAAGTAAAGATTTGATTTGATTTTTTCATTTTTTTTCAATCATTGCCTTCAAACGTTGTTATTTCCTATATTCTCTAGTTTTGGACTTTCTAATTTAGTTCTAAACTAGTTGAAGGTATTACAATACGGCTCCAAACGTGGCTTTCTGATTAGGTTTTAAACGTTGCTTTCTCCAAAGAGATACACCATAATAAGTACAAGTTACACCAGTTATTCACTACACACAGTGATTACAAAGAGATACATCAAATAGATAGACATAATAGATGCACCAAAGAGATACTAGTGCAATCCAAAGAGAAACACTAAAATGATACACTTAATTGATACACAAAATTGATACAAGAAAGTGATAAACGAAAACATCAAACAAATACACCAAAACAGAAACACTAAAATGATATCCCTAATTGATGCATAAAATTGATATAAGAAAGTGACACACCAAAGAGATACATCAAACAGATACACCAATAAGATGTATCACAAAAAATCAAAAAATTTATAACTTCAAACAAAAATAATCAAATCATATCTTTACATATTTGGAAAAAAAATTATCAATGGGGGGGGAGAGAGAGAGAAAAATAAGGGAGAGAGTATCGGTGAGAAAAAAATAAGGGTAGAGAGAGTGAGAAAGTAATGGGGAGAGAGGAAGAAAATAGGAAAGAATTGTGATATAACTATTTTTAGAAATCGGTTGTTGCAAGAGTTCCTCTTGTAGAATAAATTTCTGGTCTATTTCCATCAAAATGCACATATGTCTAATAAATTTTCATAAATATCTTTTTACTCAAATAACTCTATATCTGTTTAACGATTTCTATTTTTTCCAAAATTGTTACCTCAAGACTGAGGATCCAGAGAGTCCAAGGCCCATTACTTCGCTTACTTATCGAAATGGCCAGGCCCATAGTCAACCTCTCCCTCTTTGTCTCTCCTGTCATTGGTAATGCATCGAACACCACCCCTGTAATCATCAACCGCCTTCATTTTTCCTTCGATTCTAGACGGAAAACTATATATATATATATATGCATCAACCCTATTTCTCACCGCAAAATTCCCCACTCGCACTAGTCACGCGTTACAAACAATGCAATGGCCACACCCAAAGCCAGGGGTCCCACTTGTCCACCGCGACGTGGTTAAAATGCGCGTGCAGAATCAAATTCGACGCGCTTTTGGGAGAAATTTTGCCCTAGTCGCCTGCTACCCCTCTCTCTCTATATCGACCATGAATCGCCTGCAACTCCGATCATCTATTTCGATTGAAATTCGATCCTTTCTCTTTCTCCGCCTTTGATTATTCTCCAACTCGGTGAGTTTTTCTTTCAATTAATTTTTTATCTTTTGGATCTGTTATATATGCTTATATATTTGTATGGTTTGAATCTTATGCTTTTTGAGGTTTGATCTGGCTTTGAAGGTTTGAAAAATGGAACCTGTGGATATAGTTGGGAAGGCGAAAGAGGATGCTTCACTTCCAAAAGGTTCGTTCTTCGTTTTCTGTTTTGATTTATGAGGGTTGTGTGTGTTTTCTTTTCTTTGTGTGCGCTCTCCTGTTCAAATAAGCTTGAATTGTTTTTGGCTGGTAAATCTGTATTACATGAACAATATAGTCCACAAAATATCAGTACTCACGAAGGTACATCTTGTGGATTGCTGGGGATAAGAAGTTAGATTTTGATAGAAAACAGAAGTCAATCCACGAAATTCTTATTGCTTAATGTAATTAGAATGCAAACAGCACCACTCAAGATGAGGAGGCATATCATTCCACTTCCCCACGAAGGATATTACCTTTATGTGAAAGCTAATAAAATAAGTATTGTTGCATGTTGTAATTACTTTTTTGGGTGGGCGGAAGCCGCAGAAGTAATTTTTAGTCATAGACCCAACATGATAACTATGAAGCATGGATACTTCATCTAGGTCGACGTATTCGGATATGATATTCATCCGATACTCAAGAATACATATAGGATATGCATCAAATGTATCTGATAATTAATAAAATATATGGATATTTCGCGGATATTTCTATACATAGAGTAAGATGTATAATTTTTATTTTTAATTTTTATTTTTAACATTTTCTTTCGAATTTACATTCAATACAAACCATCAGTAAAATTCTATTTGACTCTGAAAATCGAGTGTTTTTTTAGGTATTATCTACTACATTTTTTTTTGGGTGTTATCTACTATAACATGTTAAAAGAGTATAAAAAAATGAGTTAGTTATACTACAACCTTTGAAACAAATACTTGTAGGCAAACCAAGTAATTAAATGTTGGTTTTAATTTCTTTAATTGGTCGCATTCACTTTGTAGATATATCATAATAAGACGATATTACACCTTTTTAACGTAAAAATTGTTAATTTTGTTTAGTAGTGTTAAAGAATTACTAAAAATTGTAATTTTTAAGTTGTTCAATAATGGTAACACATATATAATTAATTTTATTATAAACATATGTCAGCCGTACCCATATCTTTTGTTTTTAGGTTTTGTCGTATCGTTGTATTCGTATCATATTGTTCCTGTATCCCGTATTCGTACCTATATCCCGTATTCATACCCGTATCCGTGCTTCCTAGGCTGATATCATGCTATTCTTAAAATTTTAAAAAATGGAGTTCATGTAGTTATTTTTTGATGAACTTGTGATTTTTTTTTCAGCAACTATGACTAAGATCATTAAGGAGATGTTGCCTCCCGATGTTCGTGTTGCAAGAGATTGTCAGGATCTTTTGATTGAATGTTGTGTAGGTGAGAGGATTGTTTTGGTACTTTCTAGCCTTCTATTTCTGTAATTAGCAACTGGTGACCATCATTTTGTCTAATCGCTTGTAGACGTGCCCTTGAATGAGGATATGGTGATTACTTTTCTGTTATAATTCTTATAGCTGAATTTGGGGTATTTATGTTTATTTTTGTATTAGCAATCAGCTATCACTGTGTCATATTGTGTACTTATGCTCATTGCCTTAAATAATTATTGGAAGTTGTAATATTTTCCTACTATAATGTGTTTAGGAGTAGTGTAAATGAACCAAACAAAGCTAAGCACCAATTTATTAGGGCTTAGCTCGTTAATTCATGATGAGTATTCGAGCATTGAACTGTGCTTGAGCCGAATTCATTTGATAAATGAACAACTTTGAATGAGCTTCTATCTAAGCCGATATCAAGCTGTTCATGCACAACTTAGTTCATTTGCAGCCCTGAAAGTGCTGATGTTTACTTTTATTTGATCTAATTCAATATCCTTTCATTGAATTGTTACAACATGTATTGATTCTATAAGACTATAGAATATGTGTTGACCAAAATGTGTGCAATCTTCTTCGAGGCTTATGACCATTAAGTGTCTTACTATTGGTGGAATGGGGAGATTTGTATTTTTGAAACGAAAATATCTGGAGAAAAAATTGTAAAACTGTGGTGGGGCAGAGCCTCATGTGATGAGAGGTGCGGTGGTAGCGAGGTTGATTAGTATTAGAGGATTTTGAAAAAAAAAAGTGAGATAAAACCAAGAGTTAAATCAGAGGCGACGTTGTTTCTGAAATGCGAGCGATCACAAGATTAATTTTAAGAATGCATAGTGAGAATGAAGCTAGCTGCAATGCGAGGCTCGAATGAAGGTTGATGAGAACTGAAGGATAGTGAGAAGAAGTGAGATTTAAATAGCTTTTAGAGTGGGGCTATTTCCTGAGGTTGGTTTGGACCAAGCTTATTACTAAAGAAACCTACCCGACTACATCTGGAAACTACAGGAGTGATAACACATCAAGTAGTGGGTGTGTATTTTTTATGTTACGCCTAAAAGGGTTTTGTGAGAGCCCATAGAAAAAGGAAGCAGATAAGGAAACAAATATTTTTGTTGATTTGTTGCTTTTAAGGAATTGTTGTTCTTTTTTGCTTTTTTTTTGAGTCGCCTTGGACTTTTGATAGTAGTTATTTCTGTCAGCTACTGACCTATCCTTTCCAACTATGACAATGCGTTGAGTACCATATTCTTTTTTTCTCAAGTATATATAAGTGTAGACATCAATATGCACATTATAATTTCATTGAGAGTTTATATATGACTTAGTGTTCCACTTCTGTTTTCTATTGGTGATGAAGCATTTTTTTCTTTTGTTTATGCTTTTGCAGAGTTCATTAATCTTATTTCATCAGAGTCTAACGAAGTTTGTAGTAGAGAAGACAAAAGAACAATTGCACCAGAGCATGTACTCAAGGCGTTAGAGGTTTTTTACCTAATGCTATATTTTTCATGTTAAAACTTTATGCTTCGTTCTATACACTGCTTTCTTCTGCCCATTTTTCTGTGCACAATAAAGTTAAGTGGCATTTATCGTAGTTTACCACTAATGAGATGTATTTGAAGTTGTGGTTGTATTACTTGTTTTTTTGGGCACAGTCACTTAATTGATTGGTATTGTCTTGGAAGAACATTGAGTAACTATGAGCTGACAAAATTCATTAGGGCTTGTAAACGAACTACGTTATTCAAATTTGGCTTGTTTTTTTTCTCGTTCATTTATAATTTGGGCCGGATATGAATAATTTTTTGGGTTCGTTTTTATTTGAGCCAAGCTTGAAGTTTTCACAAGCCTAGTGTAAAATGTATTATTTATGCATGGGCATTCTTCTCTTATACAGAATATACCCTCTAAATAAAAATAGTGTGTAGTTTTAGCGATATTTTGGGCAAATGAACAAAATGAACATTTAAAGCTCTGCAGCCTTTCACGTGATTATGTCTCATTTCACTCTTTCACTCTTTCATTCTCTCTATGCTATAAAGTCTGCCTTGAGAAGCCAACCCACCAACTCTTCAGCCCTTCCCCCCTCCTATACTATTTCTTTCTCTCTTTTGGCTTCTTCTCCCTAACCCTAACCCTAATCCTAACCCTCACCTCATTTGTCTCGCTGTCTTCTTCTCCCTAAGCCCCCCTATGTCTCATTCTTGAATAACTACTCCATATTTTAGCCACCATGATCCACCAATGCCACCACTCTTCTCACCATCCTCAACTCCAGCCCTAGATCAAATCACCACCCAATCCTCAATAAGTTGGTATCAGAAACAAGAATAGTTATTTGTCTCAAGGGTCATCCCAAAGTGCATATGTATACGCATGTATATTCAATTTGTAATTTTCGTAATGATTTAGAATTTTTTTAGGAGATTTCAGTGAAATATATATGAAATTCATGGTTTTGGGATTTTTTTCCCTCAGATCAGTGGTAAGGAATTTGTGATTGGAGGATTTGGATTGTAGATTTGGAAATTTTTGTTTGAAGCTCATTTTTTGCTCGAGTTCGGCTCGAACTTGTATCGAGCTGAGCTTGAGCAATGGTTTGAGCTCGAGCCGAGCTTTAACACCACTTCTACACTTCGAGCTGAGCCTGAGGATACCAAAGCTTGTAGGCTCGACTAGATTATCACCCCTAAGTAGCATTCTCGTGGATAGTTGAAAATGTAAGTTACCATGAAGTTCTTAGTTAACACAATTAACGAAAGGGTAATAGTAATGGTAAATGTTTGTATTAGAATAAGCAACATAAAGTTGATCCTCTAGATTGAGGTAGCTGGTGGTTGAGTGGTATTTGTGTCAGGGGTGTAATTAAATTTTGGGTGTTGCTACTCTTGCCCCACAAATTTTTATCGCCCCATTAAACTCCTAATACAAAACTACTAAGGTCATCAATTTTATTCTCACCCATTAGTGATTAAATCCACTCCATTCTTACACCCTTTCCATTAATGATTAATCAAATTGTATGAGTTTTTGAGAAACTAGATAGAACCACATCCTTTGTCATGCGGGCATTAATTTTGTGATTTAGTAGATTGGGAACCAATGATTAGGAAGATATTGCACTAGTTGTATTGCTTATGCAGGTTTCACCAGTGGTCTTGACCTCTTTTATGGGTGGAAGGTGACCTATGGGCGCTATTCTTTTCAAGTTTTTCCATGTTAATGTTACTGTCCTCCATTATACAGATGCAGAGTTACAGTGATACTGCCAGTTTGATGAGCCAAATGAGGTGATATGTAGGACTAGAACTGAACAAGGCAGATTATGGGAACACAACAATGACATTTCTTTTTCTGTACTTTCTGGATATCCCTTGTGAACTCTCTACTACTCCTTGGTCTGTGGCATTACAGGCCACATGCCTAGTGGTCGAAAGATATGGGTTGTGAATAGTTTATGATGGAGATTTATAGGAGATTCATAATTATGTATTTATGAGGTTAATGGGGTGAGTTTACTCATTAATGGGGTGGACTTAGTACCTAATGTGGCAAGTATAAAATGTGGCAGACTTAGCAGCTTTACATTCGGGAGTTTAATGAGGTGGGGATGAATTTTTGAAAGGTGCGAATAGCAGGCCATGTTAATCTGTTTTTCACATATAGCGGAGCTTGTTGGATTTATAATCTCAGATGACACTACAACTTGGAGAGTCTGAAATTGGTCCTGGTGGCCTCAGAGCCTGTTGAAATTGTAGATCAGGGATCATTCTGCATATTGAAACCTTAAATTGTTTACTCATTGTTTTTCCTTACTCTTCTTGGAGGCTGGTTTATTTTCTCTGTCTCACCTATTTTTCCATTGGACTCCTGAGCACCATTTTCTATTCCTTCAGAAATTAAGTACGTATTAAGCATGACATTATGTACTGCTCAAGGAGGAGGAGGAGGAGGGGCTAGTCAAGGTGCTCTTGGTTTGACCACTAGTTATCATCTTCATCCCTGGCCCTTGGTTGGGAGCAGACATTGGGTTGCTTTCTACAAGCGTTTTGTTTTTGAGGGCTCTGTGCAGGCGAATCAAAGGAGCCAGTTGTGCATGAGCTTTTACAGAACAATAAAATTTCCATTGCGCATGCACCTACGACCACAAATTCAGCATGAGATCTTGACTGATTTTCTGTGTATCAAATGGAAAGTTAGGTACATTCCTGGGGCGGTAGCAACCAGCAGAGCTTTATATATTCTTGTTTGCATATGCAACAAAAGAAACATTTTCTACTATATTTTAATGTACGTACTAATACATTCATGTGCAATATTACGCTCATGCTTATATATGTCATTCAAAGATATTGAATATATCACTATTTGTTTAAGTGGTGATCTCCTGCCAGGTTCTTGGTTTTGGGGAATACATTGAAGAAGTTTATGCTGCATATGAACAACACAAGCTTGAGACTATGGTAATATTTTATTTGGTTATAACGCCTTTCCACTTTTGACAGCATCACATGACTTCCTGTTTTTCCTTCAAAAATGAAAGACATAATATCAATAAGACACAGAGCCTTCTTTTGAGAATTAGATCGAACTGGGACATTAAACTTTGTGCCTGAGAATTAATCTTTTTGTCCATCTTTGAATGAGCAACTTCCCCTGAAGCTTCCATTATACATGTCTTTCTAACCTTTTACTTTTTCCATCATCACAATTTTGTTAGATGACTTTTTTGCAATGATTAATTTAACTTTATTTTTTGTCACTGGGTGGTCTAAATAGTCCATTGCATAGGCAGCAGAGAAGCAACTGCTATTTTAGTTTTACCATGTTTTGGTTTTTTGACAATGCTAAAGACTATTGTTCTTCTGGAAATGCTTTCCAGCAGGATTCCGTAAGAGGTGGGAAGTTGAGCAACGTAGCTGAGATGACCGAAGAAGAAGCATTAGCTGAGCAGCAGAGGATGTTTGCCGAGGCTCGTGCAAGAATGAATGGTATTGCGTCTAGTGCCTCTGTGCATCAACAACCAAACCCTGAGCAGAGCCAAGTTTGAATAGTTAAGTTAGGATTGTTCTTTTGTTGAACTGTAGGCAAGCATCCTCATTCTTGAATATGTGCTTTTCTCTATTTTGTTGTGTACAAAAGGCTTTGGTTAGTGCAGTGGCATCTGGTCACTCCTGTTTAATTTGTATTTGTCTATATATTGCTGTAATTAGTGATAGTTTGTTGAATATCTCCTTCATTTGAGAGCTGTGATGGCTACTTCTCTTGTCATCTATCTTCACATGAGCTATGATAAGTGTTTATCTGCGTAAATCATACGTCATGAGTTTTAGTTTGGGAACTGGCCTCTTCAAGATAAATGGTATGACCGTATGCCATTTATCTTCCACATATACCATGGTAGATTAGTCTTTTAAACTGGATAGGACATTTTCTGATCATTACATCACCATAAATTCACAAGGGACTGCGATTATATAAACTGGCATCTTGAGTATAGGGTTTTGCCAGTGTGGCGACTACTGCATATATATGTTGGTTTGGAAAGAATAGAAAGTGCCCTTTGCCTTTGTGGCACATTAATACAGTATAGAGTTGGCCTCTCGGCAGTGGGCACTAGGGAGAGTTGAGTGCCTCATGTGAACTTCATTATAGTCTCTCTCTCTCTCTCTCTCTCTCTGACACACACACAGTCATTCACGATACATGCCATTCTTGTTTTCTGTTTTTAGGTTTACTTCTTTTCTTGAAAGTATAGTTATAAATCGTTCATGTTTCATGGCATTCTTGTTTTTGTGTTTTTTTTTTTTTGTTTACTTTTTTTTTGAAAGTAGGGTTATCAATTGAGTCTTACCAGCATAGTTTTTAAACCCGATCTTGACATCAATCCGTCAAAGAGACCGAGTCAATGAGTTAGTGGCTCAATTGTTTATATAATAAAAAATTTTAAAATAATTATTATTAATAGTAAATATGTCAAAAATTTATAGTGATTATAAAAATAACATGTTTAATGTATCAAAAAAAAATATAAAAAATGTATAAATTAGAAACCTTAAATCTGATCTTGATTTTATTAAGACTTTTCAAAGAGATTTGCACTCATACAAATACAAAAACTTGTACAGATTTGCATTCATCTAAATTTAAGATCCAATCTTGCAAATGCAAACTCATACAGAAATTAAGACTTAAGTCCATTTATAGCAATCACTAAAACCCACACTACAAATTGAATAATTTACTCAACTTGACGTCCAAATTGAAATTCAATTCAAGTGAAATAGTAGAATTTCAACTTTCGACCACAGAAGCGTTGGTCCAACTGGGGAAAAAATCAAAGAGTGAGAAAGATTACCTGCTAGATGTTACTGGCAATGTGAGACGAATTTACCTGCTGGATGTTACTGCCAATGTGAGACGATGAGATCAGGTGCTGTGACTGTGAGACTATTAGAGGATGAGAGAAAGTAACAAGCTGGAGAATCCGATGAGGGATAAATGCCCATGGATGGTGACCGAAATTAGTGGATTCCTATCCGATATGGTGTCTAGTAGATAAAGAGATGGAGATGAGATGAGGCATCGGAGTAATAACTAAGATGGGATCGTCGGAGATGATCATTGAAGATTATCGAGTCAACAAGAGTGGATAGGCCATTGACAGTGAGACGATGAGAGAAAGTAGCAACAGAGATTAGGGAAAAAATGCCCAAAACGTTGGATTTTATTGATTAATCCACTCGTCCCGTTTTATCAAAACCGTTTGTTTTAACGACTTTAACTGAAAATCGGTCGATTCAATGGTTTTTAAGGGAGTCTGATACATGAATGATTCAACTGTAATCGACTTGATTTAAGGTCCGGTTCACGAGATTCTTGGTGTTGGAACGGAAGTCTCAAAATAAGTTGATGGCGCGTATAATTGATTACAAAAAATTTTCCTCATTTGTTAAACTTATAAAACAAAATTAGGATTTACCTTTTATGAGCAGATTCGCACGAACGAAGAACAGATGCAGATTGAACAACATGCTCGATGAACCTCACAATGTTCTACCATATATTCTTCCAAGCCAAAACTCCGAATGTAGTGTGGGCTGCAATCCTCTGAATTCTCTCCCTTGCTCTCTCTATGCATTTTCTAAATATGAAGGTAAATGTTATAGCTGAGAGAACCGGTGAGTACATTTATTTATAAGTTACAGTAGAAACCTTAAAAAGAAATAAGGGTTGAGTTTCTAATGGGCTTAGGAATCATATGTCTAACCTAAAACAAACATCTTATGGTCTATTAATAATAAATTAATCCGCTAAAAACTTATTATTGATCTCTTGGATCTTATCTCAAAATTATATTTTGAGTTCCTCATTATTATATGCTTAACAATCTTCTCATACTTAAAATTATAGATGTCCGTCAATTAATTAAATTATTGACAATTATATTTAATTGACTTTTTTTTATCCTTGAGACCTTATCACTCAACTTATTTATTATGTCAGACAATTAAATCCACCTGTAGGGTTTAACATAGACAAAACTAATGAATTTCCTTAAGAGGACATCATCAACTTATTTAAATATCAGGATGTGATTTCCTTTAATAGTTAATTTTCAACATACAAATAATGTCATATCCTAATTTACTGGTTTGTTGACTCAAATATGAATCTCACTCTTTTATGAATTAAAGTAACAATCATTATATGTACTTGTCAATTAAATATCTCAGAATTAAGAACTTAAACAATCATAGTAACTATGAGGTATTTATTTTCTTATTTAGTTAGTAAAAAGAAAATAACCTCAATAATAGTCTTGTCTAATACACAAAGTGTACTAGTACAACAATTTGAGACATTAGACAATTTTCTATAATCAAGACAAACTATGCCAGAAGACTGCACTACAATCTTATTAATAGTGTGTCTAATTTCATCTAAGACTGTGAACATTTACTTATATCATATAAGGATCTGATAATCTAATCTTTTATTTATAAATCGAACTCTACACACTAGATTATCTACAATATAAAATAAAAGACACAGTTGCATATTATATATTTACTATAATACAAATATTTACCTACATAGATTCTCATTGAAATAAAAAACAAAGAAATTTTATTAAATAATAAACTGAGTTTCATTATAAAAATCAAGCTTTTAATATATAATTGTATTAATTGTCTCACTTATACTCAAAGTCATGCTGCCATGCATCTAACTCACATTACCTCCACGTGACTGTCAAAAGTCTTTGCTGGTAAGCTCTTGGTGAAGGGATCTACCAGGTTGTTTTCTGATGCAATCTTGGTCATCAGTACATCACCTCTTCCCACAATATCTCGTATAAGGTGATATTACACTCAATATGTTTTCCTTTCTTATGGGTTTGTGATTCTTTTGAATTAACAATTGCTCCATTATTATCACAATAAAGTGTAATAGCCGATCTTACTGAAGGTACTATTTCTAAATTCTTAAGGATGTTTTTGAGCCAAACTGCTTCTTTGGCTACCTTAGAGGCTTCCATGTATGCAGCCTCTATAGTGGAATCAGCAATATAAAATTGCGTGATACTAATCCAACTTGTGACTCCACCTCTAAGAGTAAACACATATCCCAAGGTAGACTTCTTTAAATTTATCTGATTGAAAATCGGAGTCTGTGTACCCAAGAGGTACTAGACTATCTACTTGGTAAACCACATATAATCTCTCGTCTTTTTTAGGTACTTGAGAATATGCTTTACTGCAGTTGAATGTTCTTGTTCAAGTTTAGATTGATATCTACTAACCATGCGAATAGAACAGGAATAGTATATATGAGTCTTCCCATTACCAAAGTATAAGGAACTACCTTTCATGCTTTCTATCTCTTCAGGTGTCCTAGGAGACTGTTCTTTTGAAAGAGAAATTCCATGTCTAAAAGGAAGAAATCATTTCTTGGAATTTTGTATGCCAAAACAGACTAGAATGGTATCGATATAAGTAGCCTGAGATTAGCTTAACGTCTTTTCTTTATGATCTCGCATAATCTTGAGGATGTGGCTAGTTTCCCCCAAATTTTTCATACCAAATTGATTGGATAACCATACCTTAACAGAAGATAACACCCTCACATCATTCTCGATGAGCAAGTTATCATCCATGTAAAGTACTAAGAATACCACAACATTTTTGTGACGCTTTTTATGCACACATAACTCATTCGGGCATTGATCAAAACCATAATATTTTATAGTTTGATCAAAATGAATGCTTCAAGACCTAGATGCCTTTAAGTCCATAAATTTACCTTTGAAGCTTTCACACTAGATGCTCTTGGCCATTTGATACGAATCCGTTTGGTTACACCATATAGATGCACTCATCAAGATTTCCATTAAGAAATGATGTCTTGAGGTTCATTTGCCAAATCTCATAATCAAGATGAACTGTAATGGATAAGAGAATTCAGATCAACTTTAGCATAGTTATTAGGGAAAAAGTCTCCTCATAATTGATGCCCTCTTTCTAAGTAAACTCTTTCACAACAAGTCGTGCCTTAAAGGTTTCCAACTTACCATCTGATCATCTCTTCCTCTTATAGAACCACTTACCATCTCAGACATCATAGCCTTTTATCAAAGTTCTACATCCTTATCTTGGAGTGCTTCACTATAAGTCTAGGGATCTACATTCTGTTTCTCAGGAATCCTGCCAAAAGACTCTCCCAATAATGTATACTATTTGGGTAGATGAATAATCCTCCCACTACGACGAGGCATTGCCTGCATTTCTGTATCATTAGTGACACGTTGTGCATGTTCTGCACGGGTATTGATATTGCTCCCACTACAGCAAACCGATGGGATATCGTCTACTCTTTCATGGGTTGTTTCCTCTTATTTAGTTGGTATGAAGAAGTATTCCCTGATTTATCTTCTCTCAACTCCTCGAGAAAAATTCTACTCTTGAGCTTGTGATCCATCATGCAGTCTTCCTCTAAGAATCAGGTATTGGTGTTAACAATAACCCCCTGATTTTTAAGACTATAAAAAAGACCAGCTTTTGTTTCTCTTGGATACCTTATAAATAAGCAGACTTCTGTTCTTGATTCTAACTTACTCACATTATATAATAATTAAGATCTAGATCAAAACTTTGTTATTATGAGTGGGGTTTAAGATGTAATTTCATTTAATAAAAGGGAGCTAAGTAAATTTTTTTATACAAATTCAGTCAAAGCGGGTGGACCACTAGTATGATATAAAACCTTTATTTTATTGGGACCAAATGCCCTAGAATATATATCCAAC